AGAAATTCGTGTTTATCCTAACACCCCTTTTCTTGTTTGAGATTTTTGTGATACACAAAAATTTTAGTATGAAGGTATCTTGAATCGCAAGGGTTGACACGTTTCTTCTGTACCTTGGTCGACGAGGGCAGGTTGGCTGTGGTTGATTGGTTTCCTGCCGGTATTTCGGTAATGGTAGCCTTTGGCGTTGAAGATTCTTGATGGCGGTTTGTCGGGTGTAATGTTGCTGGTAGTAGCGAGTTAAGATTTACATTTTGAGGTGTTGTGCTGTAAGTGTGTATGCTGCCGGTAGTTGTGTTATAACAATTATTATAAATACAAGGTTGACAACAGAATTTTAGTAATTTTCCGATTTTGAGTTTGTACAGAATGTAAAGTAACGCTAGTAATGTAAGAGCTCCGGTGATTGTTCTTAGGGTAGTCCAAATGCTCTCGTATTTTGAAATGCTGCGGGTTTGTGTAGCGATTTCTTCTGATTCCCTTTTAATATCTTCCAGGGAGTGTGAGTGTTCTAATAATTCATTTGGGTTGAGTAGTGATTTTGGTATTGTTGTGTCATTGGGTAGTGAGAAGTTTCGAAGTCCTAGTGTTAACTGAATGGGTGTGACTTCTTTTTCAAGAGTGGAAGCTTGCAATGTGGTTGTTATTGTTTGACATATGCAGCCTGGCTGAATTTTAATTTTGTTGAGGCCAGAGATGAGTGTGGTAGTATGTACTTTTGAAATGTGTGGGCATGTTATGTGTAAACTTTCTGGTTCTAATGTGAAAATGAGCCATTCTCTATTTGAATGTAATTGTATGTAGATTGGATTTGTGTATCTTGCTATGTGTACGGAGCATTCTACTTCTGATGTTGTAAGAACGTGTAAGGCTTTTGTTAAGCAAGGATCTTGGGCGATATTATTTTCTGTCGGTGTGTGTTTTTCACAGATGCGTAGATTAAAGTGTGTTTTACATGTTTGTAGTTCTGAAGGTGTGGGAAATACATACTGTAACCGATAACATGTAGAGCATGTGGTTCGCTAATTTTGGTATGGGAATCATTCTATGAAAAATATAAGTATCAGTTTCGAAAATTGGTATCCTAATCTCGAAGCAAAGTCTGTTTTTTTTTTTCAGAATGAAAATACTGATATTTGAAAATTGCAAGATTTTGTAAGCATTCTCTGGAGTTATTGAATATAAAAGTCTTTCTGATCCGAATTTTCCTTCGATTGTTTTCAATATCACTAATATTTTATCAAGAGGTAACATAATTGGGTCTATGTGTCCTAAGTGTGCATACAATATAGCTGAGTGAATCATATCAATCGTAGATTCGTATTCCGCAAGATAAGTGTTAATTAGCATAATTAATTCTAATCTTAGTTCGCGTTTCAGAAGATCGTTAAATTGGTCTTCTTCGGATTGTTTTAATTGAGAATTATTGTGGTTTTGATGACTAATTGTTGAATGTCTTTGATTATGCCTTTTACGATGCTTGTTTCATTCGCTGTATTTAACGCTAGGTGCTTATTATTTATATGCAATTTATCGATCTCGTGGTTATAATATTCGGCGTTTTAAATAGGATATTAGTCAAATCCCCGATAGGATTGAGCCATCCGCGTTTAACCCTACGTGGGTGAATTATACCTAGACTAGCTAGTATGATGTTGTGTTTTAGATTAGTCTTATGTACTCTATCTAGTAATGCTTCATTTCGCAGTGTTTTAGATATTACATTTTGGATCTGTAGTTCTATTTCATATAAATTTTGTAGGTCATACCAAATGACAGTAGTCCATCTTTGATGATAAAATCGTGTAGTGCCGATTGCATCGAAATAAATATTTGGTTGATTCGGCAGTTCTTCTACAGTTATTGGTCCTGGGTCTACTGAAGTTGCTGTAATCCCAAGCCACGTGGAGAATCTAAAATGGAAGACATGTTTGCGTATTTTAGACGATTAAGGTGTATAATTTGTTCCTTTTTATTGATGTTGACGACAGCATTGACATCGTTCAGAATTTTTATAACTTGGTAAGGTCCAAGGAATAGTTTGGTTAATCCTTGCAATCTATCGCGCCCTTGATTCTTCACCCATACCCAGTCCCCTGGTTCCAGTTTTAGAGGTTTGATCGTTTTATCGAATTTCGCTTTCGTTTTATGTTTTGAGTTTATTAAGGTTTGATGGGCACGTGAAGTTATCCGCCAAAGGTAAGCTTTTAATGTTTCTACGAGATCTGAGTATGTTCCCAGTCCTCCCTCTTCTTCTAGTTGACTCATAGGTGGAGGTTCTCGTGCAAATAGTAGGTGGAACGGAGCTATGCCAATTGAGGAATGAATAGTGGTGTTAAACGTGTATACTGCTGCTTGTATATGTTTGGTTGACTCCAAGGTGTTGGTTCTTCGGAAATTTCTAATTGTGTTTTTAGGTAATCTTTTAACACTGCATGTGTTCTTTCGAGTGAGCCATTAGATTCTGGATGGAATGCGGTTGTGTGATTTAATTCATACCCCATGAGGTTAGCTAGTTCGTTCATGAGGTTGCTTGTGAAATTTGCTCCCTGGTCTGTCAGTACTTCTTTTGGTGGGCCATAACGTAGTATCCAATTATTTACAAATGCGAATGTGATTTTTTTGTTGATTTTTTATAGGAATTGCTTCAAGGTATTTAGTAAGTTGATTTTGTATGGTTAGTATGTATTTGCATCCGTCAGTATCTTCAGTTAATGGTCCGACTACGTCCATAGCAATTTTGTCGTTGAAATTATAAGGAGTATCGGTGATTTTAATAGGCATCTTGGTCGGATTTCTGTTAATTTTGTTCTCTTGACAAATTAGGCACTCGTTAATATATTTACTTACGTCTCTGTGTAGACCGATCCAAGTATAGAATTGTTGGATTTTCGAGATTGTTTTTCGTGTACCCGAATGTCCTCCAATCATGGTGTCGTGAGCTTGTCTGATGATCTCGAATTTTTCTGCTTCCGTCTCCGGCGTCTTCAGATCCTTTGCGAGGAGAGTTATGTGGATCGATGGATCGTAGATGGTCGATAATATAACGTCTTTTATTTTTCGTTCTGGAATCAAGGCTAGGGTAACTAATAATGAAAAGTTAACTGTGATTCGACTGATTTCTAGCCCTATAATAATGTTTCGTAATAATTCGAAGGCTTCACGTATCGTAACTTCGTTATATTCTTTGGCGTAGAATTCAAGTATCTTCTGTTCTTCAAATTTGTATGTTAATCTGTCGTTGTGTATACTGAAATGTACAAAAATACTGTCTGTTTCGTTTGAATAGACTATTGTTTTCCTAAGTGGTCTTTTCGGTATATTGATTGCTAGCATCGGATTTCGACTGAGTGCATCAGCGTTGGTGTTTAACTTTCCTTTCTTATAAATCATTTCATAATCAAATTCCATTAGTGTCACTCTCCAACGTTCTTGCATTGCTGACGGGTCTGTGGATTTATCAATGTATGGTATAGGCTGGTGATCTGTGAATATTTTGAAATGTTTGCCATAAAGGTAAGGTCGGATTCTGCTGGATTTAGGTTTCTGCTTGCAAAACTTATTGGTTTTTCTTTCCCTTCTTCGTCCTTTTGGGACAGTACTGCTCCGATGCCTGTTCCACTGGCATCGACCGCTAGAATAAATTCTTTGCTGAAGTCTGGATACGCTAACACTTTGTCTGTTATCAGTTCTTCTCGAAGTCTTTCAAATGCCTTCTGTTGTGCTTCCGTCCAGTCGAACTTTACTTCTTTTCGTAACAGCATGTTCAATGGTTTGGCGATGTGTGGAAAGTTCGGGACGAAGCGTTTATAATAATTTGCAAGACCTAAAAATTCTTTAATGTTCTTTACCGTTTTTGGAGTAGGGAATTCTTTGACGCTCCGCAGATTGTCCGGATTTGGCTTCACTCCCTCAGGTGTGATGACATGTCCTAAATATTTAAGTTCCGTACTAAAAAATTCGCACTTGTCTGGCTGTAAATGTAAGCCGGTTTCTTTCAGTCGCTGGAATATTATTCGTAGACGGTCCCTGTGTTCTTCCTTTGTCTTTCCCCAAATTATTATATCGTCTAGATAAATCAAGCAGATTTTACCTATCAAACCTTTCATGGCTTCATTCATCATCCTTTGAAATGTTGCCGGTGCGTTCTTCAAACCAAACGGTATTCTAGTATGTTCAAAATGCCCTTCCGGGATCGAGAAAGCAGTTTTCCCCATGCTTTCCGGATCCATTGGTATTTGATGAAATCCGCTTGCTAGATCAAATGCACTCGTGCTTCCCCTAACTGATCTAGAATATCGGAAATATTCGGAAGTGGATAAGCATCATGCAGAGTCTTATCATTTAATTTCCTAAAATCTATTACAATACGCCATTTCTTCTTTCCGCTAGCGTCATTCTTCTTGGGAACGACCCACAATGGTGAGTTATATGGGGAGCTTGAATCTCGCAAGATACCTTTCCTGACCATTTCACTCACCTGTTTGGATATCTCTTCCTTGTGGATATGTGGATACCTGTACTGCTTCACATTTACAGGAATATCGTTCTCCGTGTAGATCTTATGTGTAGTTAACGTTGTTGCGGGTAACTCGTCACCCGGTAGTGTAAATATGTCGTGGTATTCTTCTATGATATCCATGAGTTCTTTCCGTTCTTTCGCGTCCTTTACATGCTGCAGGCGTATGTTGTCTCTTAATTTTCCTAATCGGTCCTTCGGGATTTGAATATGCAAAAGTCTGTGTGCTGTGTCCGTGAGTTCTATGGTTTTACGTTTTATATTGATGCGGGCTTCTTCCTTTTCGAGGAATGGCATTCCCAAAATACCGCCGTCCTCTTCTATGGGAAATGAATCTGGCACTACCGAGAGAATATGCATCGATCTCCTATGTCGATTGTTGCCTCGCGTTCAGAAACTATTTCTTCCTGTGTTATCCCTTTAAAACTCATAACTCTTTTTCGTGTGAATAAATCCGAATTTGTCGCGACTGATTGTTTAATTAGGTTGATTCCTGCTCCGGTGTCGACGATGAATCTTCTATTGGTGAATCGTGATTGGTTGTGGTTTCCCTCTCTGAGCTGTATTCTAATTTGTCTCCAGCTGTCCTGATCTCGTCCGATTGCATGTATCGTATGTCTGGGCCTTTTATTTGTCGGCGGTTGGGAAAATTTTGGCGACAGTTTCTCGCGTAATGTCCCTCGCGATTGCACTTGAAGCAAATTGGTTTCCCATGCGGTGGTCTAAATTCCTTCGGTGGTTCACACGGTCCTCGTTTAATCACCGGTTTGGGTGGCTCTGCTCTATAAGTGCGCGAAACTAATCTATTTGCTAACTCTTCCTCGCGTTGTGCCTCGTATGCTAAATCTTGGGCTTCTTTTAGTGTCTTTGGTCGAGATTGCCAAATTATGGTTCGTAAAGGTTGTGTAAGGTTTCGGATGAATGTTGCCAATGAATTTTCCTCTTCTACTTTAATAATTGTTTTTATTTCGGCCGGACTATAACGCGAAGTATTACTAACTGCTCGGATTATGCCTTGATGTAACAGATTGAATCTTTTTATATTGTGGGATGCGTAGGTGAATTAACGACACGTGGATGCGGTGTATCTTTTATTACGTTCGATGCGTGGTAGTCGCACGCTCGGTACAATGGGTCGTCGTCGACTGCCTCGTGCCGGGAAGACTGCCCTCGGAATCGGTCTTCGGATCGTCCTCTGTTTCCGAGGGCCGTCGACCCGTTAGGCCGCCGAGTTCCGTTGGCGACGGTTGCCACGTCGGCAACGTTTGGTGATACAATGTTGTGGCGGTCCGGCGGTGTGCACGTGCACGGGCCACCACAATATATACGCGGACGTCGTCTCTGCCTTGACGTAAATGTGTGCGTTCGTTAATTAATAGATCTTTGCTTTTTGATAGTGTATGTGCGTCGCAGCTTCGGCAGTTTATTAGCGACGATTAAACAACGCGGAGGAACTTCACTCGTTGAAGTCCAAGTCGAATGTGTATAAAGTGGACTGTATTTTGTATATCGAATGATACGAAATGTATTTTTGTATGTATGCACCAAGTGTACACAGTTGTGTATAATGTTGCGATGTGAATACTTGTGTGTTAAACTACGAAGTGAATACTTGAATGGTAAGCAACGATCTCTCGAAGTACCCTCTCGTCTCCGATCGTGACACCTCGAAGAAGGATCGAGTACGCTGATTGGTCCTCTTTGATTTTCCAATCAGCGCATTTTTGCCATTTCTTAAAATTTAAGTAACGCCCTTTAGCCAGCCCTTCTCAGAGCGGGGGTGAGGGCACTGTCTAAGTATGGGGGGTTTCTCGAAGGTTCGATGGGTCGCGGAAAATTCCTCCAGGTCGACTCTTAACTACAAGGACCGTTATACACATGTTTTAGCCGACCTTTCGGAAATACCGAGTTTATGACCTGGTCGGTTATTAAGACGAACGAAACGAAATTCTAAAGCTATTGTGTAAAAACTCGAAATGATTAAAAATACCTTTACTATCGCGAAGGCACAAATTGCCGGTTATAGAAAAATAAGACTCTGAAACTATTAACGAAATATAAACACAAAAATAAACTGTCTGTCACGTCCATGTCATAAACTAACCTTCGAGAATGTTTAATTACGGTGTTCCGTATCGGACGGAACATGCTCCCCCCCGTTGATCGATACGATCGATTAATCTGATCAATTAATGATGGATTAATCTCAAACTGGAACTATCTTCTAACCTTGTGTGTTATACAATGCGATTAGAGAGTATGTGTAGCTGTACAAATCGAGATATATGTGTGTTACGCAACGCAAGATATAAATATGCAAAAAATGTTATATACAATGGTGATGTGTGAGCGCATGTGTTGTGTGATGTCTCTTAATTCTAATTATAATTACAATATACATGAGTTATGGTACAATAAAACTAAGTCGTCTCGATAGGCAACGGTGCCAACTTTTTCAGAGCACGCTTATAAGTGCCGTGTGGTGTTTGAATTGTGGCCACGCGGACCACGTCATCCTCTCCAGGGTGCAGAGCGACTACTCGCCCAAGTTGCCATTGAAGGGGTGGACAATTATCATCCCTGATTGTCACCAGCGTTCCTTCCTTGATGTTTGTGCCATCTCCAGTATGCCATTTACTCCTAGTATGCAGCTCCTGTAAATATTCTGTCTGCCACCTTCTCCAGAAATGCTGTTTAATTTCCTGAATGTGTTGCCAGAGTGACAGCTTATTAGTTCGAGTATCGACAAAATTGTGTTCCGGTAGGCTCGCCAACGACTCTCCTATAAGGAAGTGATTGGGTGATAGGGCAAGGAAATCGTTGGGATCAGAGGATATCGGTATCAAGGGACGTGAATTAAGTATAGCTTCGATCTCAACGATTAACGTATAGAATTGCTCGTATGTGAACATGGCAGCACCTATTGTTTTATGCAAATGTTTTTTAAATGATCTAACTACAGTCTCCCAAAGACCGCCGAAATGTGGAGAACGAGGAGGAGAGAAATGCCACTCAATGTTTTCCTGCGTTAGGAATTGCCGAAGTCTGTTTTTATATTCGTCGGATAGTAGAAGTGCACGAATTTGTATAATTTCATTTTTTGCGCCTACGAAATTAGTACCATTGTCCGAGTATACATGACGCGGTTTTCCTCTTCTCGCGACAAATCGTTTGAGCGCTCCTAGACACGATTCCGTTGTTAAATCGGTCGCTAATTCTAAATGTATCGCCTTCGTCGCGAAGCAAACAAAAACTACGACGTAACATTTCAATTTGGTTTTGTTTCTGAACTTCTTTTCTTTAATAAGAAAGGGTCCGCAGTAATCGATTCCTACGGCTTCAAATGGACGTGTTTGTATAATTCTATTTTTTGGTAAATTCCCCATTATGTACTGTGGTGTCTTGGGATTGTATTTGCAACAACTAATGCATTTATGCAACACTTGTTTGACTATGCTCTTGCCCGCTATCGGCCAATATTTTTGCCTTACCGTGTATAGAGTGGCTTGTGTCCCTGAATGAAATTGTCTCAGGTGTACCTGTCTAATTATTAGTTCGGTAACGTGGTGCTTGTGCGGTAGTACTATGGGATATTTCTGGTCATATCTGAGTACGGCGTGCTTCAACCTGCTACCAACCCTAATAATCCCATTCTCGTCTATAAACGGATTTAAATTGATTAATTTACTTTTTCTATTGACATTTCTACCGGTTTTTAAATCATTTATTTCTGATGGGAAGGTTTCTAATTGAACTAGTTTGATTATTTGAAAGTGTGCATTTTGAATTTCTGATAATGACAATGAATCTGTGCCCTTCTTGCTATCGTGTTTTACATTGTTATAAAAACGAAGAATGTACGCTATGATTCTATTTAAATAATCGATGGATGAGTATTTTTCCAGTAAATCTACGTTGGGAAGCGTGACTAGAGTTATGGGACGCCTCTTTTCTACAATTTCTATTGTTTCTAATGTACTAATTAGCCAGCGAGCCTCATCTAACGCTAACCAATGTGGTCCAAATTTCCATATTGCATTTTTTATGAATTGAGAGGGTAGTTGTCCTCGCGAAACAAAATCTGCTGGGTTGTCGGCTGTTGCAATATGGAACCAATTGTCAAAATGAACTTCTGTTTGTATTTCGTTCACCCTATTGGCGACAAACGTCTTTAATAAATGCGGTGGTGTCCTTATCCAATGCAATGTAATGGTAGAATTAGACCAGAATCTAATTCGTTTGAACTCTGTCTGATAAAATGCCTTTTTCACTTCCTTGTACAATTTTGCAAGGAGCCTGGCCGCGCAAAGTTCGAGACGCGGTAACGATATAATTTTCAAAGGTGCAACCCTTGACTTCGCACATAACAAATTTACCGCGTGTTGTCCACGTTCGTTGGTGGACTTAATGTAAATGCATGCGCCGTATGCACTCTCGCTGGCATCACTAAAGCCGTGGAGTTCTAGTTGTGTCGTATTTTGTATAGCGGTTCGGCGCGGTACGGTGAAGTTATCTAGTAAATGTAGTTCGTTTTTAATCTCCAGCCACGATTGTTTTATTGTCTGTGGAACGGGTTCGTCCCAGCCAATAGCCGATTTCTACAATTGTTGCATAACAATCTTGGCTTTGATAATTACCGGCCCAAGCAAACCGAGGGGGTCGAACAATTGCGCGATTTCTGATAGAAGTACTCTCTTGGTAATGCGAGATTGTTCTGGCGACAACTGTTTAAAAATATAACTAATCTGATCGTTTGTTGGATTCCAATAAACGCCTAATGTCTTTTTTGTTTGTGACGGATCCAGGCACAATGATCCCTGCTGGTTTCTAATTTGCAAATCCGCAATCAATCTTGCGTCATTGGAGGTCCATTGTCGCAAATGGAAACCTCCCGCCCTAGCTAACGCGATACATTGTTTTTTAAGTTCTAATGCAGCTTGAAAACTATCTGCTCCTGTATATAGAAGTCTCTCATAAATATTTCTGCAGCTAGAGGGAATTTCTTTGCTTCATCTTTAACTAATTGATTTTGTGGAGGATTTGAGCGCTCTGTCGTTGCACTCGCGTCCTTGGATTATTGCACTCTAATGTGCCGTCTACAATAACTCGAAGGACCACCCAGAAGAGTTTCTACTTTTCTGAGACTGTATTGTTTCTGTGGGCCTAGCCTGTTTGCTGGGCTTGCAGAGTTAGGACTTCGCTCTATCGTTGCTCAGAGATAACTGACTTCGCAAATCGATGACGCTCGTCGACTTGCCGCTGCTAATACTAATTTCTTCCGATTGGCTGTTTTCCTGCTTCTCGAAAACACCATGTCGGCGTGTAGAAGATGCATCGCGACACCCTTCTCTTGCGCCCTTAACGCGCGTTTCCTTAGAGAGGGGGTGGCGATGTCCTTTGTCAAATTGACGAGTGTCTGGCAACAGCGCGGGAATTCCTCCGAGCTCGTCACCTCGGTCCCTTGACCGTTACACGCTGACTCGTGACTCACCCCTTCGGAAGACCCATTTTTTATGGTAGGGCTAGGTTATTGAGGACGAGGGAAAGCGCCTTAGAGGCCAGAGGGTTGTAAACCCAACTTTCTCTCGCCGGGACGTAATTTTTACTAAAATTACATGCTGCCAATTATCAAAGTCCCATTCTCAAAAATAACCGTTTCGGGACGTCCGTGCCATAAACCGCTGCGCAGACAGATTTAGAGAACGTGTGGCTAAGAATGGTGCCGGCGCGGTGCCATAAGTGACTATTCAATTCGTATGTTTTGATCGATTCCCGCCATAGAATTCGTTGATAGTTTCTATCGTCTGGATGAACTATAATTTGCCTAAACATTTTTTCTATGTCCGCTATGAGGACAAACGCATGCTGACGAAAACGAGTAAGGATGGAGAACAACGTGTCTTGTATCGTAGGTCCAATTAATAAAGTGTTATTCAACGATAGACCGGAACTGCTTTTCGCTGAGGCGTCGAATACTACTCTAACCTTTGTGGTCGAACTCGATTCTTTTACGACCGCGTGGTGCGGCAAATAATACCCTACGCTACTCTGGTCGTCCTTTACGTCCGTCATGTGCCCCAAGTCTAAATATTCTTTTAAAAATTCCGTGTATTGAGTTTTCAATTCTAAATTTGACTGTAGTTTATGCTCTAAACTATAAAATCGTTTTAAGGCCATCGTCCTTGAGTTGCCGAGAAGATCGCGTTTTTCATTAAATGGTAATCTAACTACATATCGTCCTTGCTCGTTACGCGTTGTATTTCGTGTAAAATGAGTTTCGCACTCTGTCTCTTCCGCGGATAAGAAACCCTTCTCTGGGATTTCTTCTATCTCCCAAAACCGAGTGATTTGTGTGTCGAGGGACGTGGCTATATGACAAACCTTACCTGCCCTGCCTTGCCTATTGGGTTTATGACTATCTATCTCGCCAGTGACTATCCATCCTACCTGTGTATTTTGCAAGATAACTGAGGGTTTATCTAATTTAATTTGACCAGCTTCTAATAAGTCGTAGAACAGCGCATTACCAATGAGTGCGTCTATCTCCCCTGGTTTGCGGAAGTTCGGATCTGCCAATTCTACGTGTCTTTGTATATCAAACTCGCTAAGATTGACCTGTCGCACCGGCAGCATACCCGTAATCGATGGTAGTACAATGAATGTTATTTGAGCCTTAAATGGACCGGTTTGCGATCTTATGCTGGTTTTAACTAGATGTTTCGTGTTTGTATTAAGTTGCCCTAAGCCGGCGAACGAGAGATCTATTTGTTGTTTATTTAATTGCAACATTTCCGCGAGTCTGTATGTAATAAAATGTATTTGCGAACCACTATCAAGCAATACGCGACACGTGTGCTCCACATCATATTTATCTAAGATAGTAATTTGTGCCGTGCCAAGTAAAACCTCTGAATTGTAAGAAGCGGTTAAGGTGGTCTTAATTGTTTCTGTGGACGTTGACGGGGTGGATACTATCTGATTATTATGGTTCAAGTCTTGTGTCTCGGTCGGAAAATGAAGCAACGTATGGTGTTTCTTCTCGCATTTACGGCAATTTCCTAATCGGCAATTGATAACGACATGGTTCGGACGCAAACAATTTATGCAAAGTTTCACCCGTTTTACAGTGTTCAAACGATCGCGAACTGACAATTGGAGGAACTTCGTACACGCATAGATTGGGTGTTCCCCTTTACAAAATACACAAATCTGTTTTCGCTCATTTGTCGATACGTACGAGTGATTGCGCATCTGGGTTTTTGAGCGTAGCCTATCCTGTGTATTACTCGCTTTTATTGAATATGAATTCTCCGTTCCGAGATCGTCCCCGCGTGCATGTTTATTGATAAAATCTAATAATTGTTTAAATTTTGGAATTTCCTTGTCTTCTAAAGTACGTTCCCAGGCGCGACGTGTATTTCTGTCTAGCTTACTAGAGACGATATACTATACATACGTTTTCTTTCTGCTTCCAACAGGAAATCTGATGTGAGTAGATTCGTGTGGATTCAATGAAATCGTCTACTCACAGTATTAATAAAATGTGCATCCTCGGGTGCGTGTGGTCCTAGGTCCCGTTGATTTCCGCTTTGAGTTGCCAAGTTCCTCCACGATCTTCTCGGTGTCACTTGAATGGATCCTGGCAGGATCGCCAAATTTATAGTCGCTGTTATGCCGCAACTTAACAGAGACTTCAAAAATCTCAGTATTCCGTTTACAAAAATAACTCTTTTATTCCGAAGATCAACTCTTAACAAAATCAAAAAACTGAAGTCTCCACTTTTAAGGAAAACTGTAAGGAGTGGTGGAAATTCGTTTTTATCCTAACAGTGCATTCAATTCTGCGACTAGCTGTACATAGTCATCGACTTTTTCAAACACACAGCATTTATCGATAGTCGGAAGAAATTCAATTAAGGTTGTAAACAAACAGGATTTTCAAGTTGCACTCCGCGGTCTAGAGTATTTAATTATTTTTATATATTTTAATTATATAACGTATATTTCGGTTAAACGATGAAAATACAAATTCTAGAAGCGTGTCAAACAAAATATTTATGTTCACGGTACCGCCATAATAAACGTTTCTTCTTTCAATGTTTCTGTAAACTCTGTATGTTTTTTTATATTTTACAGAAGTAAAGTTCATGGAATCGAATAGTATTTTTTAGAATTGATTCAGGCGCTGGTCACAAGCGTTAAGTAGGCATTTGAGACTTTAACATTGGTTATTTTTATATTTGTTAATAACAAATTACATATATCAAATGAAACAATATTCTTTCAGCTTTAAAATAAATGTAAGAACAAAATATCACCTTTAAATGCAGTTGAAATAATGCGAGGAAAATGGTGACTTTCGTTGCCTGACTTCATTCAATTTTTTTAAATTTTAACGTTGAATAATTCGTAAACATTCGAGATAGAAAGCAGAAAAATTTACATAGTGTAGTTTTTCGAGGCTATTAACAAATGCTGTAAGTTTAAAAAAAATCGGTGACTATGATCGCAATTTTGTACGTTTTGATGCTGAATGGCTTTTATATGGGTTTATAATATTACAATAAAAAGAAGTGAATAATGTTCTCTACGAGAAATTTTTGAGCAAGAAAAGAGAATTTCAAATGGCCTTGATATTGTTACGAATCGCGATGTGCTTGTTGCGAAACCGATAATAATTGTCCCTCTTTTTGAGTCAGACCATTTAAGGAATCTCTAAGGGGACTCAGGTAGTGCTCGGAAGATAGACTATTAACGCACAACAGTTTGCTGTTAAAACTATATGTAATGTATATTTGTGAAAGAATGTGAACAGAGCGCAAAATGCCTAAGCTTACTGATCGGAAAATTGTGTGTGGTGTCGTGTGGTGTTCGCTATTTTATAAACTACGCGTGTGTTGTGATTAGTGGTGTGAAAACTGTCGTAGGTGGTGGAAGTGTGCGGTGATTGATTTTTTCGGTGTGTTTGGGGTGTGTCTGGTGGTGGTGTGAAAGTGGGGAATTTGTTCTTACATTTGTTATATTGCTTGTTGGAGGTCGTGTTCAGGTGTGAGAGGCGTCGTAAAGTATTTTTCGTGCCGGCTAAGACCTCGCTGGTCTATCGGGAATACCGATGTATTGTTCGGCTCGTCGGTACGGCCGAACAACCCAAGCGACGTCTGTTACGCATGTGACAATATCAGTGATCAGTGTAGAAAGTATACAGTGGCTCAAAGTAAAACTCGGACATTTGCATATTTTTGTTTTATGAAGGGATAATTAATGTAGAGCACGAATTAAATGAACGATTGAGTAATTTTTATTAAGCTATAGTTACAGACATATGTACAAATCCATGAAAAACAAAAACAAAATTACAATGTATTAATCAAATAAGAAACAAAGTATCAAACCGAACGGAAATTCATCTCAAACTAAAACTCGGACAATAGGGAATTTTTATCTATATGTATGTTTTACATTATTTTTAATACTTAGTTGGCAGTCCTTTGTTTGTTTTGACAGCTTTCAATCGATTCGGAATTGATCGCACTAATTTTTCACAATATGAAAGATCAATCTTTGCCCATTCCTCTTGCAGTGCCTTCTCCAAGTCTTTCGCATTAGAGATGATGTGGTTTTTCAGTTTTTCTTCCAAATATGCCCATAAATGCTCGATTACGTTTAAGTCTGGTGACTGAGGAGGTGTTTCAATAACGTGCGGACAATGATAAAGCAACCATAAACGAACATTATGAGCCCGATGTTTTGGGTCATTATCTTGGTAAAAACTGAAACACTCGGCAATGCTCAATTTTTGGACACTATCCTTCAAATTTTCTTTTAGAATCTGCAAATACTTTTTGTGGTCCATTAATCCGTTAATGATATGAAGGTTTCCTGGTCCAGCAGCTGACATGGATCCCCAAACCATAATGGAACCACCCCCATGTTTAACAGTCGGTCGCAAGTTTTCTTCTCGTAATTCTTCATTTGGCTTTCTCCAAACATATGTTTGCCCATCAGAGCGAAAAATATTGAATTTACTCTCGTCCGTGAATAAATCAGTCTCCCAAAATGAAAAATCTTTATCTTTGTAAAGTTTTACGAACTGCAATCTTTTCGAACGATTCTTTTGGCTTACAAAGGGTTTCCTTCGGGCGACTCTGCCATTGAAATTATTCTTCCTCAATATAATTCTTACTGTTTCTGGATTTGCTTTTTTTCCAAGATATCTCTTTGCTTCTATAGCTAATTTTGGAGCACTCAATTTTGGATTTTTTTTTACTTGTCTTACGATCCAACGTTCTTCGGATTCTGTGAATATCTTTCGTTTGCTTGGTTTGGACTGGTTTTCCACATTATCTCTCGTTCTGAATCGTTTTATTACGTCGTGAACTGTAGAGTGACTTCGTTTCACTATTTTTGCAATATTTCGGACTGATAAACCGTCTTTGAAATGGTTTATAATGAGCTCTCGAAGTTCTAACGACGTTTGTCCAGACTGTCTACCCATGTTCAGATTTGAA